GAAATAGGGTGAATACATCTCATTACCTCACTTTGCCATCTCAATGAGGCATTACATGATTTGGTTGGCTGACGTATGCTTGCCCTACATGCATGTATGAATGTGTCGAAGTGATGCAGGCAGGGCAGTGGATATGGTCACAACATTTGTCTACGTAAATAAACTAGCGTATGATCCCGTAATTCTGGGTCTTGTCAGAGATCCGTGGATGCGTGTTCGTGTGTGTATGCAACAACCACAAGTTGGCTGGAAATCTCAGGCCCAAAAACAGGCTTCAGCTTAGTCAAGTCTTCACCTCTTACTCAGAGGCTCTTCCTGTTTCCTTTCATTCTATCTCTCTCTCTCATTCACTTTAGGAAGACAGAGATAGTTGCTACTTAGTTTCGGACAATTGTTCCACCGCAGACAATTATAAAGGTTGTGTTGTACATTCTCCCTTAAGAGTTTGTGCCAGGTTCTCAGCGTAGACCAAGGCAATGGAGACCGATAAAACCATATAAATTAATCACAGTTCTATTTATTTGCATAAACTCTTAAAGGTTGTAAATACTTAATTTTATATCAGAATATCCCTACCCCAAATTTTGCTTGACTTAATTTTATTCTATTAGTTATACGCATAGTATATCACTGATTAACACATCCTCCTCTCATCTCATTCTCTCTGCCCCCAGCCGATAGGTTTGGTGCACACACACAGTACCACCTCCTACGATCACAGACAAGAGGTCTGTCAGCCAAGAGTCCCAATTAAGTATGCATTCCATCAGCCTGATTGCCCCGGAATGCCATCTGTGGAATCCTGTAAAAAAGAAGGAGAAGAAGCTTGCGTTAGAGACAAAAATTGTGACCCACGTTTAAATCGACAAGCCAGGGAATGCCAAGATTACGGAAACGCTATCTCATCAGAAGCCGTAGGTCTAGCATCAAAATCCTCTGCTACTTTGCCAGACATCACTGCACGAAATCCACAATTGCTTATGCATGTTGGTGAAAAAAATATTATTTCTCAAATTTACCAAGAAAATGATTGTGAAAAAAAGCAATGCCGAAATGAAAAGCAATCGGCGACCAACATGCATGAGGATCGAGTAGCAGACCAAAACACTAAAATTCACTTGCAAGTGGGTGGTCAATTTGGGCAGAATTTTATTTCTAATTTTCAACATGATGATCACTTTCTGAGACGACAACCATCTGGACTGACCTACAATCCACAACAATGCCAAAAGCAGAAGCACCAGACAAACTTTCTGCCGCCAGAGTCCACACCGGCCGCGTCGTACTCTGGTTATCTCCAGGCCTATAATCCGACTAAAGCGGATCTAGGCTGTGCAAATATAAATTCTAGATCATTTGGTTCAGCAGTCTGGAGATCAAGACTTGCAGTAGAGTCACAAATAGATAGTGAGATTTACGAATTTACCGCCCTTGCTAAAAAGAAAAAGGCTGCTTGGAGACAGGCCATTAATGTTAAGAGGACAACAGATGCTCACGATACAAGGAGGAGGATACAGGAGGACATAGTTACTAGAAGCAAAAGAGGTTTTGGCTCACCAACGCATACTGCTGTTTCCGAGGAAATACATGAATGTATTGCTTTGCGCACATTCAACCAGAATGCTGTTT